ACGTGTCTTTGCCTACGTCCAACTCCTGGGGTGCTGTGATGTCATCCTCCCACCTCCCTGTCTGAGTCACGGCGCTTTGGTTTTCAGTGTAGCTGCCAATCTATAGGAATATACTGTTGACAACCAGGAACCATCATGGAAAAAAAAAGTAATGCATCGCCTCAGATTGGTAAAGGAGTGAATTTTTGTCATCAAAATTTAGTGGAAAATCAGGACTGAAAAAATTAGACAAATGATACATCGGGCTAAATGAAATGTTGTTTTATCTGTAGATATTTGTAAGAAAACCTCCGGAGACTTTTATTTTGACGAGCATTTTCATACTGGAAGTAAATCTGATCATTGTTCATCTGATTCATGTTCTCTATCTTTTTCAACTGTGACCCTTGGTATAGTTCTGGCCCTAGCCCCGATGGTTGGGGACCTGTGCCTTGCAGTACCGATGGTTAACCAGACTCTAATTGCACACAAACACCAAGAAGCTGACGGTTCTGGTCTCTTATAGGAAAACAAGCGCATCTAATTCTGTCTATTTTCAGCACACTGTCTGCATTACACCCATCAACAGACAGGACAAAAGAACCAGTGTGTGTGAAAACAACTTTATTTACGTCAATCTCCATTAGTGTAGCAGTGCTGCCCCAGTGAATGGGGCCCATTCTTTACATCCCGCTGCCTCCCGGGGCAACTGAACCAGGAATTCCACCGCTCGGCCCGTCTGGGTGACCGTGGTCATGTATGCACTCGGTGGTCGTGTCTGGTCTGACTTCACTCCTCGACGTCTTCATCTGTCTCAGACAGAATGTAGGAGTCAGAGTCACTGTCTTTGCTGCTGCTGCTGCTGCTGCTGCTGCTCCACAGTGTTCTCTAAGATAATGGGTTTATGGCTGAGCTTTGAAAACCAGAGTTCTCATTAAAATTCCTCCTTTAATCACAGACCAGTCAAAGTGCTAACTGAGAATATGAAAAATAATAGTGGAGAACGTCAAAGTGCCACAAGTACAAATGCCGTGACAGACTTTCTCCCCGCAGGGAACCTCCTGATTTTACGCCAAAAATAATTTGTGAAATTTCATTGCTACGAAAGAGAGATTGTGAGTTAAATGCGTTGTGTCAGAACTATACTAAAGTGGTGTATACACCAGAAACACAGCAATGATCTGTCTTCATGGTTGTTGTACACAGAGTACAAATTATATCTTGAAGTTTTTGTTCAATTTTGTGGTGCGGGCCACAGGAAGAGGGAGAGTTCATGATTGATCTCGTAGATGTGATAGAAACATGTAAGAACTGTACAAAAATCCTTATGGATGTTAATGGCACGTCCAACTGGGAGGAGACCTCAGGGAAAACCAAGGATTTTATTCCCTTTACTGGCCTGGGAACGCCTGGGAATGCCCCGGTCAGAGGTGGTTGGAGGGAACAGGAAGTGAAGAGTCAGATTCCCTTTCATGGAACTGCTGCACCTGTGACCAGCATTTTTGTATTGGCTTCAAACCATATGATCCTAATTATGCTTTGTGAATAAAATAAATGTTTCTACTGTCAAAATTAAGTTTGTGTTAAGCTCAATTTATCCCTCAAATTCTATAGCGCCTCCTTTTGACTCTGCTGCTGATGTCGTCATTGTCCACTGTCCACTGTCCACTGCCTGGGACCAAAACAGTTGGTATATTTGCATACCTTTTGTTAATAACAAACGAGAACAGAAGGCTGTACAATGGACCTACAATGAGTTTGTACAGTTTTTTGTTTTATGCCCTAATTCACATGCATTGTGACTGTTGTCTGTGCGGTTAGTCTTTACACACCTGACTGGGTATAGTGTCTACGTGGTTTTTTTTTTTTTTTGTATTTTCAAAAAAAAAACCTAAATGCTATAAATGATTTGAGCATTAAAACATAGGAAATAAGCAATACGATTTAATAGGAACAGAACTGCATTCAATGTCATGTGCTGTTAAAATAATCATTTTGTTGTGACTAGTTTTAGCCTGTTTAATCTACCCCTTGTTTGTTCCATCCCACTCCTCACTGTGGATTCCACACCAAGCCTGTGGTTGATATGGAGGCTTAATTTGAACTCCCAAGGCCTGGGTTTTCAAACATCAACATAATATAGTTTTAGCTCATTAAACTGCCAGGAGAATTTGAAAAACAACTCGAGCATTTTGACCTAAGGTGAATGGAATAACTTCTCAGTGTTTGAGACTGCTGCCCAGATAACTGATGGATCACAATTTTACCAGAGAGAAACAACAGGATTTCATCTCATTGATCTTCTCGTTGCTTTAATCCTTTTTGAATTGCATTCTGTATCAAACTCCATTAAAACTGCTTTAGCAAATCCTCAGGCTACAGTTCTTCACCAGAGAACAATACAAGCCGCCTACACAAATATTCGCCTGTGACAGAGCAGCCTGGGCAGAGCTAAGACCCACAGATCTACAGGAATAGAAAAAGTTTTAATGACAGCCCCGTCTTAATTAGATTATTATGTAACTCCCAGTGACATTTTAGAGCAATGCTGCCACGGATAGAGGAAGAAAGAAAAAAAAAGAGGAGCGGGGATTAACGTGGAGAAAATGAGAACAGGAGCTGCTGTCACCGGGTCCAGTGTCGATAATTACAGAGATAAAAAAAAGAGACAGTGTTTGAGGACAGAGAGTACAGAGAGACATGTTGTAGCTATTCACTCAGGATAATGTCAAAGAGAGAGAGAGAGAGGGCGAGAGAGAGACAGGTGAATTTCTGTGACTCCTTTATAATCCATCCACCCCTGACATCCATCACTGCTGAGCCACTTTAATTAGGACAGCCGCTCTTTAGCTAAACTAATTACACTCTTGTGGTAAAATAATTTGTGTATGTGACGCGAGCAAGAGATAAAAAAAATATTTTTCAGGAAAAAAAAAAGAAGCTGCAGCCGCAGTGTTTCGTTTGGCATTAGAAATCTACAGTCTGTGGACAATAGAACTGATTTTAATCTAGTGCAATCAAGAATGTTGTGTAAGTGTCTCTTTATAATAGGAACATGATCAGAATTACTTTCCCTTTGTGTGAATATTCTCAGTTCGTGGGTTGAGTGCCGCTGTATAACCTTATTACTGTTTAACCTGTTCAATACTTCGTAAGATTAGAAATTGTCTTCTGGATACATGGATAGATGTTTGTTTTTTTAAGGCACAAAATGTGGAGACCATGTGGTACCTTGGACTAACATCAATGATGTCAAATCAAATCTTTCACACTCTGACCTTTCTGCTCTACTTCTCCTTTCACACTCTGACCTTTCTGCTCTACATGTGATTTTAATTCATAAGACAGAACTCATTCTAAAGCAAAAAAAATCACCGAATTGTCAGAAAGACATTACTTCCATTTGCAAATTAAAAAAAGCCTTATTGTTTAATAATTATAACAAATCACTCCTGTTGAGAGTTTCCATTGTTTTTAACAAACACCAGCCTGCAGTTCTGTCAATTTTAATAAATATAATCCATGAAAAGGCTTTACCTTTAAGAAACATAACATTACTAGTCAAACATTAGTTAAAGATTACAAATTCTTAATAATTAACTCTTAATAATACTCTTAATACTAACTAATACTAACTAAACCTTTCTCTCTACCGTCTCCGCAATCTCCGTCTTATCGCGATAGCTTGCAGCCTTTGAGCCTGACGCTGTCTCGTATCGCGAGAGTTTGATTCCCCACAGAGTCGAGGAAAAAGAGGCGGCGGCTTCGTGGCGGTAGCGAGGCGGAGCGAAGCGCTGTAACTTTGGAGGAACTTCTGATTTGAACAAACCGAGAGGCGGTCTGCTGGAGTGGAGTCAGCAGCGAGAGACAACAGGAGCCATTCGGAGGGTAGTTTTTACATTTTAAACATAACCTTCTAGATGCTTCCTTTTTTAAACACCACTGATCGCGGTAATGGCTAATGACTAAGCAGCAAGAGCGAGGTTTTGTTCCTGTGAGAAAAGAGGCGACAAGGTGGAAATGATTAAAGGTGAGTGTGTTTTAATACATTCCTTTTTTTTAATCCTGACACTAAAATAAAACCGTTAATGTTGCTGCCCCGCTCATTATTTCGTACCATTTAGATAAATAAAGTGTTTAGTTGATAACGGCTTCGCGGAGGACGCTACGTCTAAAAGTTAAGCTCGTTGTCAGGTAGCGTAAATAATATAACGTTATATAGGTTTCCTTTGTGTTTAAAGGAACCCTGTGCATTAGGCTTCTAATTTAGCATCTCGAATGTAGCACTGTTTACGTCTCTGTTCAAAGGGAAGTCGTGGAGCCACCGTTGTTCCAAAATAAACAGGAAACCTTGCAGCATTGAAAGTCAGGAGATAAAACTAATTGTTGTTTACTGGCTGCTGCTCCTCCGGCTGCTGTGTAATTGGGATGGTTCTCTGCTGATGCTTCTGTTGCTTTTGTGGCTTCCCTGTGCCCCTCTCTCCGGTCCGTCTGACTCGATGCGAGTGTATCATTTTTGATGTGATTTATTCAGGGCACAATGAAAGTGCTGTCACAGTGTCAGGCTCAGCAGCTCCCACTTCTCCCTCTTTACTCCAGGGATCAGTGCAACATCAGGCTGATACAGTCTCTCTCTACATCTAAAGTGGCTATTGAGTCAAAAAATATTATTATTATTATTTTTAGACATTTAGTGTTTTTGTATGCAAACAGTGCAAAAATAAATAAAAGGCATCTTGCATCCAGATCCAGCATCATCCCCAGGCAGAGTTCCAGCCTGATGCTGTCAAACCAGTGTCATTAATCAAAATGGCCGTCTGTGTACTCTTGTCAGATTTGAATAGTAATGTATTAAATGGTGAGTGAGCTTTTCACTGGCTGCACAGCAACCAGCAAGGACATTAGATGAAAAGCTAACGTTGTGCGGCTTGGAACTAAAGTTGGACATAGTTTGAACACATGCTGCGGGGAGATAGTGGACTTTAATGGACAAAGGATGTTGGAGATGGAGCTGCCAGGCAGGAGGACAAATGAAGGATTGACCCCAGAGAAGATTGATGGCTGTTGGACATAAAGTTGGTGGATGTAACAGAGGAGGAGGAGGAGGAGGAAAGGGATACAGTGAGGAGGAGATAGACGCTCTGCTGAGGTGACCTCTGAAGGGAGAAGGTGAAGTTTACACAACGTTTACAGTCTTTGAAGTGCTGTGAATTCTAAAAGATGTTTTTTTTAAATATAATATATACTGTGTACTGTGTTTTGTGTCGTAGGAAGAAGAAAACAATCACAGCAGTGACAGTGTTGGCGTTGATATCTTTAGCTGCAGAGTCATTCATTTTAAGGTACCACTACTCAGCACATATGTTCCAAACCAGGAGTCGCTGGATCAGAAATCGAACCTTCAATCCTTCCCTCATCTGATCTCAGATGAATACTCTGGGTGATTAACAACAGTGCTTTCTGATTGGCTGTTCTAGCTCTCCACTTAACATGATAAAACAAATAGCTGCTCCCCCCCGGGGTGCTTTTATCTAAGACCCCCCCCCAGCTGTTTTCACCTCATCAACGCAAATTAGGAAATTGTAAACTCTATAAAGTGAGTTTGACCACACAGATAATAACAGGCTGCATCTTTTGTCCTGTACAAAGCGAATGTTTGCTCCACATTTAAGTTGCAAAATACAAAAATTCAAAATCTGTTCCTGAAATGTTTAACAATCTTCTGTAGATGTTGGATGTTCCCGCATTGGTTATTGATATGGTACATGATAGTAGCATCACAGTCACATATTTAGCTTTTGATAATGGTATTTTAGCTCATTTGATTATCATTATCAGCTTGAAGAATTAAGCATGTGATGAAGCAGCCAAGAAAAAAAAATGATTGAATTAACTGGGGTCAGACCAGAGTCATTTGACCCAGAGACTTTATGTAATTAAACAAATTCAAAAGGTCAAACAACCAACTTAAAGCAGAACGAGGCTTCACTGAAACCAACGTGTACCTTTGTGTTATCTGCCCTTCATAAAACATACTTTAATATTACTGTAAGGTGCTGGAAGAGAGTAAATATAGACTGTTGATAGATGTGAATTCCATTGGTAACATATTTTCACTCAGGTGAGGTGGCATCGATGATGTGATTGTGTAGGAATTATTCAGGGTATAAACAAATGGGAGAAGGAACCTTTGGAAGCTTTGGTTAAATTTAGTCAAACTTCTATTAACACCCAGTGAAATTTAATTATCCAGGTTTATTAGTCCGTGCCTGTCTTGAATCTGTGCTCCCACCTAACAGCGCCCCGCGGCTACATCCACATACTGAGGCTTATTTAATACTAATGATTCAAGTCTGCTTTAGATTTGCATGCAGTCCAAGGTTTCCATTTGAGGAAGTGAGAATAGAGTTTAATGATGACACTGCAGGTTCTGCTTTCATTCACAAAACGTTGGGGCTTCACCACCAGCTGTAGGGACTTTTACTACACCTTGACTTCAGCAGTAAGCCCTAGTCTGAACCAATCTGTCTGATGTATTGGTATTAGAAACAATAATCAGTGGTGGCTCAGTGGTTAAGGAAGCAGACTTGGGTCCAGAAGGTTCAAGTCCACTGAGGTGCTCTGAGCAAGGCACCGTCCCCACCCACTGCTCACCTTGGTGATGGGTTAAAGGTCACATTTGGTTGTGTGTCCTGTCCGCTTTCAAAATAATGCAAATTATTTTCTTAAAAAATGTAAAGACTTTCTACATTGGAGTTTTTTGAGCTTATAGTCAAGTCATGGATGATGAAAACTCCCGCCTCCCTTCCCCTTAATGACACCGGACATCAGATAGTGTTTTATTGTAAGTGGACCCCCTGCAGCTGCACTGTATTCAGTTATTGCTGCCATGTCCACCTGTGGAGTGTGTCCTCAGGCGACCAGCTTCAGCTCTTTGGGTGCAAGCCTGAGCCATTGCGGGAGATTGGGGGGGAGCGGGATCCTGCTGCCTGCTTTCTACACTTGTTCCAAATGGACATGTCAAAGAGATCCGCGCTCTATTCACTGGGTGGTCACGGTGGGTCATATTCTCAGCTGGAGGAACAGCAGCAGCAACATTAGGGCACACACCCCCCAGTCAGGACTTTTAAGAGTCTTTGTCATTGGGTTTTTGCTGCTGCTCTCCATAGAATCAAACCCAAACTATTAAATTCCCTCCCCTAAAACAATTTAAAATATTTACAACAAATGCAAAGGTAAAAACAATGCTTTGATAATGCATTGTTAATTTATCACATCAGTTTAACCTAAACTAGTTTAAAAAAGCAAGTCTGCAACAAGTGACAGTTTCCCTTCTCAGTTTTTTAAACCGTTTTGGCTCCTTGGTCACCATTGTTTCATTCTCCACAGTGTGCGGCCTCATCGATGTTTTCAATTGACAGCTTGCTAATAGCCTTCGTGAGTACCTTAGAAACATTGAAGTTTGCACTGTTATCTGTTAATGGTCACTCTCCACAAAGCCCTTAGTGTGGACTCCAGGTCTATGTGGAACATGCAAGAATTTTGGCAGTGCATACGGAGCCGACTCTGGCAAACGAAGAGTCGAAAAAGAGGGCATTTCAATCCCAATCTGACCGATGTGCACACCAGTGTACACGTTCCGTCACGTGTATCACTGACAGAAGCTGAAAAATCCTGTTTATCTGTATTCAACCCTCCCACACCAGCCTCGCCTCGCTCCCCCCTCCCATCCTGGGTCGATTTTTTTTTTTCAGCTCTCAGCCTCGCCCCCTCTTCTGTCTCACTTATATCACTGCCTCTTTACTCTCAACTTCCCACGATTCACTCCCTCCCTTGCATCACGGACAGTGCCATTTCCTCTCATCTTCCCTCCTTCCTTCCTTCCTGTTGTGGAAGGCATGCTAGGATTCTGGCATTCTAAACATTTCTGTCCTTCTTGCTCACCACTGCTACCTTCTGAACATGCTTTCCTCTAATTCCTCCTACCTTTCTATCACGTCTTCTTAATTTTCCCTTTTCCGTCTTAGTCATTCTGCCTCCCTCTGCCTCTTTGCTGTCTCCCCGGTGGTTGGAATGTGAGTGCTCCCTATTTAAGGTCTTGGGGTGGGCTGTCTTTTGAGAAATACCAGAGCAACAGATTCTCCTTTGCAGTGAACAGATCACGTTACAGAATGATTTAATAAAACAGAGGCTCCAGCAAACGTGTGGTTGCCCTGTGCAAAAATGTAAAGTTGTAAATCTCTCATAAGATTCTTGAACAGATGTAGACCATCCCTGGTATTTCCTGTACCTGACCACGGTCCAAACTGTTCTAGCTCTGACCATCACCTCATGTTGGTGCTGTGTGCAGCACAACACTTGTCTTGGCTCCTGTCACTCCCACACATAAACATATTGTCATTGGACCTGTGTGTCAGGGTTGCTCATGCCTCCAGGAACACTGGGTGGGATCCAGTTGCGTCATTTAGCTGTCTGAAAAGTACACACGGTTGTACAACTGTTGACGGACGGGAACAGAACTTTTTAATTTCAATTTCGGGCATTCATGTCTCAGCTCTGCAGGATTTTGAGACTGGCATAAGTCTGTCATTTCACAAACTGATCAGCATCAGAACTGTAAAAAAATGACTTTTTCAGTGTTTTAAAAAGAAAATATTTTAATTTAATGTAAGTGTTTTTATCTTAGTTATGAAAATTATGCCAAAAATGAATTAAACTGGAGTCTGGAGGTGGTAGGAGAAAGTCCTGGGTACACCTCAGTTCCTGGAGTAGCAATGATAATGAAGCAGAGGTTTAGTAGTTACAGAGGACGGTGGAGCCACATTGTTTCCCACACTGTGTTTGTTTGGCCGTGATCACATTGACCACGATGCTCAAATACGATTAGTTACATCTTATTTGCCGCCTCCCACTTGCTGAGGCACAGAATTGTGGTGTCAAGACTGTGTGATGTAAATGTCAGGGGAAATGATGTAACTAAGAAAACCATAGATTATGTATCTCCAGGATCAGGGTCACATATGTGTAAGTGGCCTGCGTCAGATATGGAAAAAAAATAGTTCCGTTCACACAGTCATAAAAAGTCATTAATGAGTCACGGATGTGGGAAAAAGCTGATTTGGTCACTTTGAGTCTGCGGTGTGAAAATTATGTTACAAGACCGCTGATTTATTTTGACACACCAGTGACACCTTAACAACAGCACGTATACAGCGATTACCAGCAACATTTAATGATTCATATGCCAGGAAGAAATGCCAGAAATTACTTTCTGATAATTGAGCGTGTTTGGTCATTCTCCTCAAGCCAAAGACAACATTTATATAAAAACATATATCTGAGAGTGCTGCTCTCCTCCAGAACCAGGTCGGTGTGCTCTGACACAGCTGAATTGCAAGTGGGCATATTGTTTTGACAGAACAAACAGCCTTTGCGGTGCTTTCCTCTGAAATGTGAAATTGCGTATCTCTTCTGATCCTCGGTCCTTTGCGGATAATAAATTCGAAACCCCATTGAGGGGGGAGAGGTTTTCAGCCGGTGAGTTCAGGGCCTTTTGTGGCAGCCAGAAAAAAAAAGAGGAGCTGGGGCACAAGAACAAGCAGTTAATTTTAGCCACGCCACCTAAGGTGAGGCCTCTTAAAGGCTAACAACTACTTTTACCCAATCTCTCCTGGTTTTCTCAATTTTCAGCCTTTTTACCCCAGTGAAAAAACTCCTTAGGTCTATAGGAGGGGATTATTGCACTTAAGCCTCGCATGGATTACAAAAACAAAATTCAGTTGTAACAGATGAGCAAAAAAAATCTATAGAAACAGCGTGAAACAATGACTAAGCAGGTTAATCCATGCTGAAGTAACCAGAAGGAACATGGTGTACAGATGGAGACTGCTCAGAGAGGGAGGGAGAGACAGAACAGCTGAGGTTCTTTCTGACGCTGTCAGCAGTAGCAAGGATTTATCAGTAATTTAAGAGAACAAGCAGGGGATGACAATTAGTACCAGACAATAGCATTTGCAAAAGATAATGTGGAGCGTGTGGCTATTTTTGGCTGAATGGCAGAAATGACTTTCAGTTTTATTGGCAAAATCTGATTATCCTGAGGGATTATCCTTATTGGCAAAATCTGATTATCCTGAGGCTTCGCTAAACCAATCCATTCTACAATGGAAGTGGAGTAGACTGATAAAAAGATGCATCAGAGAAGATTGTTTTTAACTGGATGTCGTGTTTAAAAAAAATCTATTGGCTTTTTAAGAAAATTAGAATAAAACAGTATGTCATTTGGTGCAAGAGAAAAAAAAGGCTCATCAGATTAACAGATTAAAGTTTTTAGCGACTGTTCATACTGTTGGTATGGTGCATCATAGCAGTTACAAAAATCACGAGTTGGCGAATAGGTTATGCTCAAAATATTAATGCAAGTATTATGAAATGCTGCTCATATTTCTGTGAGACTAAAGTTTGCATGTCTAGTTTGATCATGTGAAAGAACAGTACAGTGATCTCCTTTGATACTTGTGGCTACTGCAGTACTAGAGGAAGGCTCGGGTGAGAACCAGCTTGATCATCTGTCTTTTTTTGTCACTAGAAATTTGTTAGATCTGAAGTTCTCAAGCAAATGTACTTTCATTTCTTTCTCTTTCAAAAAAAAATACTGCTTTGGGTCAACTTCTGTCAGAAAACTGTGAACAGCTGCTTCCCAGATGTTTTGCACAGTGACGCCGTGACGTTGTGATTGTGATCAATTCAGAAACGACAACAACACAAGGATACTTTCCAGTCTGATGCGTTAACGAAGTGCAGGTGCAGAGCGATCACGATGCTGCTGCAGAAACTGGTTTGTGTGTGATTCGGAACCTCTCTCCTCTCCTCTCCTCTCCTTGACTCTGCGATGACATCAGAAGAATGTGAACGGGCACGAGACACATATACGAGCGTTGTTGCCGTAATCCCCACCAACTGCCTCGCCATCTGTTTCCACGCAGACACAGCCCTAAAATTTCAGTCTCACTGTGTAAATGACTAAAAGACGTCGCCACTGTTGGCTGCCTGTCCTCCTGTTGGAGCTGGGAGGGCTTTTTTTTTCATCCTCTGGTATTTGTTAATGACGGCTCTGCCCCCTGGGTCTCCATAGTTACATATTTTATTGTGGATATATGAAAATGGAACCTGATATTTATGTTGCATATTTGTGAATTACCAATCTACGTCAACTCAAGATGTGATTTGATTAAATTCACTCATGCCGCCTGTGGCTGTTATTAGAAATACTAATTGCAAACATGAGCTCATTCCCCATGAAAATTGTCTTCTGCATTTTACACTGCTGTTTCATCTTTGCTGTTTATGTCACGTCTGTCAGGCATGTTCATCTGCGCCCAGGTGCACATCGGCATACAGAGTTAAGAACAAAATTATCAGCACGCCTTGAAAATATATTAATTTTCTAAGTGTACCCAAGGCTTAATTTCTGGACATTTATTGTCCAGTGTTCCAGTACGTTCCCTGCATAATCTGTCGAAACAAATTGTGATTTAAAAATGATCAAAAGCTGGAGCAGAACAATTATAGAATACTACTTCACAGTTAAAAGAATACTCTGTATTTGCCAAAACGTTACTCAGATTGGCTTGTACACTTTGTCTTTGTGAGATGATGTGTGAATTCATGCAAGATGAAAGATGGGAGGAAAATGTTGCCAAGATTTTTCTCTTAAGCGTTTCACTGTGAGAGACGATGGAATTTATTTTTCAGGATTTTGGGTCAGATTTTCTGATGAACACAGATTAAAGAACATAAATATCCAACAGACAAGGATAAAAGTCAATTTTCTGAATGGATTATTAACAATAAACACCTATTAAAATCCACTTAACTGTCCAAGTTATTCTGGTAAAAAAAAAGAAATCCCATTTTTATCCAACAACAGACAAGGATACAAAAAAAAAAAAAACAAATAAAAAAAAACTACATGCTGCAGAATGTGAATATCTTGTGTATGATGCAGTTCCTACTTTTCTGAGTCTGACACAGTCAGACACGGTGTCTCATTACTATGTAACTTGGTGAACAATAAGATGGTGGTGTTGGATTGCTGATTAATGTATTCATGCAGGACTGTTGTGGTCGGGCGGGCAGAGAATTCAGTGGAGATTTTACAGATATTAAAGTTACAGATTGTGATATGATTGGTTCTCTGGATATGTAGGTCACAACCCAGTTATCTGGTCTTTTGTGGGCTTGTCCGCTTGTTTACACCAGGACTGTTGTAGCTAACGTTAGCCGCGGTGTCTGTGGTCACGGTAACATGTTTTTCATTGAGATAGTCATTGTGATACTGTAGGCCACATATGTCAAACTCAAGGCCCACAGGCCAAATGCGGCCCGCCACACCATTTCATGTGGCCCATTAGAGCATTAGTCATCCATGTGGTTGTCTTAAAATAAATGCCTATATTAAAGAGTCTATGTTTGTTGTTTCTGGATGGGTAAAATGCAGTGGGCAAATTCTGTGCAGGGTGAGTGATTAAATATACAGTATATATTGTTCTTTAACCTGTTGTGCTGTCTGTAAATAAATAATAGAAGCATAATAGAATATTAGAAATGAGCACCAGAGTCCCAGCCCTAATATAAATATAAATAAAAACACTGAGCACAGTCGAGTCATCCGTCTCTGTGTTGAAGAAGACAATTCTAACTTTCTTAACAGACCGCTGTGTTTCTATGCACTGCTGTAGGAAAACCCCTGACGACAGTCACACAAGCAGAGGAAACAGAGGCACGGGATTAAAAGACGACACATCCTGGTCATTGTTCATCACAGCTGGGTAGAGATTCCGGCCACTCGAAGTTGGGAGACTGCCATCATTTTTGCAGTAAGTTTTTTTTTTTTCCTTCCCTTTAATCACATGCATTCCCCACAAAATGATGTTCCACTTTATAGCAGCTGTAGTTTTTTTTTTATATCACTGACAAAAGAACGCTGCATTCCTACTGGTCGTGCCACACATAGCAGTGTGGGGGGAAAATTCCTCCACAATGTCAACTGACTTTGAGTTGATTCCCAGCCTTGAAATTGATTCATTTCGTGTCCCGTGACAGACAGCCTCTGTGAGTTCACTGTCAGTTTGTGTTGCCATCCTGTCCCATTCAGCCGCAACCAACACATCGTTTTGTGACCCTGATAATGTTGATCCTGGTAACACTGCTGCTGCAGAGGAGTTGTGATGACTGCTCTCTAAAAATGTTTAGCTTCAATGTTTTATTTTCCTTAAAATAATCCTTCAACTACAGATATGCCCATTTCCAGCTGGTGTTTACGAGATATTCAACAGCTTAAAGAAGATGGTAAATTCTACTAAAGCCATCAGGATGTGCAGGCACAGAGGCATTAATATTTGGCAAGGTAAAGTTTCTTAAAAAAGCATCATGGTTTTGCTGTTGTATCATTCTTCACTTTCTAAATATTTTTTCGTTTTTGTTGAGGAAGGTTAACTGACATGAAAACAACAAAACAACAGAGTAGTTCTCTTTTTAAAATGCCCTAAACTTCAGACTGCTGGACTCCAAGGGTCAAATTTAAAATTTTAGCTCCCAATTTAAGTTGATGCCTAAACTGTGTACAGGACTGAATGTAGCCAGTTTCACACACACTGTGGAATTAAGTCCTTACTTCTGTGGCAAGGAGAAAAGATCCTAATAATGAGAGACATCTTTCTGGATTTGTACTTTCCAAGGAGGTCCTCCATCCTGCCAGAGGTGGTAAACATATAAATCCATCTTGATTTACTCCAACCCTCATCAGCAGCTCTTGGCTGAACCCACCACAGTCTCCCTGCTTTGCAGATCTCCGAACTGAGGCGGCGCCAGATTATCCTGCCGCTCTCACTGAATTCCAAACTTGCGATGAATTCAACTGTTTTATTTCTGTGTCATCGTTTTCATCTGATTGCTCTGTCGGCCAAAGGTAGAAATATGGAAAATTCCCTCAAATTTACCAAGAGCATATATTATATATGGTGATTAAAGGGCAAAACCACGTATTTCACACAGATACTAGTGGTAGAAAAAAGCAGCAGCTCAGAGTAAAGAGCCCTGGAAATCAAAAGTAGATATTGAATTTTTGTAAAATTTGAGTCAAGTTTTGAGTTGCATCTTTTTCTTGACATATTTCCATATAAAACACAATGTTGATTTATTATTAATCTTGATTAAGTATGATCATAATCATTTTTTACACATTTTGACAGCCTTAAAAGAACAACTGATTGTAGAAAACATTGTATATAGATAAACTAGTTAACTGCTGTTTATGAATTCTGTTCTCTTCATTTGGATGTGTATTCAGCTGAGTCCACCAGTTTTGATCTGTGAAGCTCAGTACCTGTAATGGACCTGCATTATTATTTTCTCTTAATGAGGAGAAATCAGGTCACAGTGCCCCGCGCGCTCACATCTGGCTCGCAGGTGGTGGAAGCAGACAGCCCAACAGGAAGGTAGCCTGTCAGGAGCTGGACTTCTCCCTGATCACTCTGCTCATCCAAGATGGGGGAGTGTTTTGGAGCTGACGGTGACGGCCTCCTGAGCCAAAGTGGTGTTTTTGTGCTCTGTCGGTTAATGGATTTCAGGTTCATGGCTCTGCACGGACCAAATGTTTGGTGAGAGTGCGTCAGTATTTGACCAAGTTCATCACAGTGTGCTTTTAGCAGAGCCACCGATGTACAAGGACGCACGGAGGAATGCTGTGTGTACACAATAGGCATGACCTCGTGGTTTTCAACTCCATCTAAGCACAACATGTTGAAGAACAATTGAATCTGCGTGAATGTGTGTTTGTGTAGCCGCACTGTGGTGTGTATTCACCTACCAGTTGACAGAGGTTCTTAAAATATTTACCCAGGGAGGAACTGGTTAATGATTATTTGGACAATCGGTGTTGAAAATGCCAGCCTTCACACACGGGGAATGTTTGTGTGACGATGTGGCAGAGAAACCAACCGCCACGGCTTTGTTTACGGTGTCGTTGTAGGTGAATGCATTTCTAACCTCTGACGTCACAGGTCAGAGGGTAAACTTCTGCTTTTGTGCTTTGTGACACTGAAAAAGCAGATTATGCTTTAGAGTTGAATGAAAAATAGACGATAGATTAGAAAGTAATTCTTTTAATAATTTTCTTTCACTACTTCACCTGACTTTTCAGTCACTCTGTGATTTGATAAACTCCTTGTTTCCGAAGTCAAATTCTTTTTCCTTCACCTTCAGTCAAACTTCACATCTTGAAACTCCCAGCACATCCAGGTCTTTTCATCTTTCCTCTTCCTCTGCAGTGTCAAACTGTTGCTCCATCCTTACCCACGCTCAGTCAGATACAGACCTTCTCTGTGACATCAGATCAGCTTTAGATGGTTATTGGAGGCTCTTTACCACACACTGCTTTGATCTAATGTGGTGGCACCGTGACACCTCACAGCCGTCGTCTGTCTCTCAGTCATTCCAGCTACGAGGAGGGAAATCTTCATCAGGCGTTAATGGATATGACACCAGTGAGCTTAAACAACCCGTGCATGGGGAGGAAGTCCAACGGTCTAGTAATAATTCCTAACCACATCGGGGCACTTCTGACTGAAGTGGTACACGGCCCCATGAGGTCTTTTAGGGCTTTATAGCCTGGGGCTCTTTAACATCGATGTAAAGCACTTAGTGTGAAATTGCCCAGAATCAGAACAAGCTGGAAGTTAAACTAATTCTATAAAATGGCTTTTTTTTATTGCCGAACGTTACTTGGTCTCGCCTTTTTCTTGTCAAATGAGGATTAGTTTTCATGCAATTTTTTAAAAATATATTATTATGAATAAAATGACATAAGATGAACTTTGGCTGCAGGTAAATAAATGCAAGACAATTTTTCCCTTGACTGTAAAGGCATCACTGGCACTACTCAGGACACAGAGACCGACCTCTCAGAAGGACACCTTAATCCAGTGACTATAAATGTATTCAATATACTTTTCATATCATTGTGCAAAATCGCACGTGCACAGATGGAAAGTCACACCAGAATAGTTGAAAAACTTCATTGTCCTCGGACGTTACATTCTGTACCAGAGTTGGGAAAAGCATCTCTACCTCAAAGCATCGCCAGCTCCCGCCGCTTCCTGATATGAGATTGAATAAGATAATGTTGCCAGGCAACGGGAAATTCCACTTTTGGCCAGTATCACTTAGTAACACAATTTGTTTCTCTGAAGTTACCGACATCATTGATGGTGCTGGTGATGGATGCAGCCCCTGGAGTCTCGTCATCACGTTGAACAATTCAAAGCGCCTTATGAGGTTTGATTGTAGAAATTAAAAAAAAAAAGACTAATCTGAAAAATCTGTACAGACTTTTCTCTGATCTTCTGCAGTCTTTCCCACAAATATCTTCACACTTTGTTTCAGTGCTGAAGTACTCACGTCTCACAACTGCACCTCTGCCTGCAAATAGCCACCGGTGCACTAGTGGGAGGAAGAGTAGGAGGAGAGGGGTAGTGCAAACGGGGGGCCTGCGGGGGTGGTAGCGTCTTACATAATATCAGATGAACTCAGCTGTGTGGTCCTGTTCAGCCAGCGGTTGTGTTGCCGGGCAGGCTGAGTGATCTTCTCACCTGCCGTCATCAGAGCAGCTTCAGGACCCGGAGGCGTCCAGATCAGTGGACGCTCCCGACGTTAAACAGACTGATCACACGCCACACCCCCCACATCACGGAGCCAGAGACTGTTTAAAACGGCATCGCCATCATCCCTCTGACTCTGTGTTGCCATGGCAGCACAGTGGTGTTAACCTTGCAGTATAATGATAATACTGGGGTCTAAAACTAGCAATTAGATGCCATTTTTTCCTTTTTTTTTCTTTTCCTTTCTTTTCTTTTGAAACAGCTAAAACTTCACTTCTTCCTGTGGCAACAGCTGCTGTTTTTCACTCAAGTTCATTTGTTTAGTTTTTCAGTTGTTTCACACAAAGAACCATCCAGCTGGTCATTAGGGTTTAGTTTGGTGAAAAGTGATTTCCTTTACTATTCTGCTGCATTAGATTGGTGTCAGTGTAGAAGGATGAGATTTCAAATAGTCACACAGGAGTGAAGGAGTAGTTGTACTTGACACTTGACACTCTCTTTTAATTTCAAGATGCTCCTAGACAATGTTGACGCCGTCTTTAAATATTCTCGATTAGACTCAAACAGTGACCAAAGCTGCAGTGCACCAGCCGGAGAACATTTGTTGTGTTCTGTGAAAAGGACCTACCTACCTAACTACCTACACCACTTCCTTCCCTCCGGTTGGCAGTTTGTTACCCAGTAAATGAACACGAGACGCTTTGCTAAGAAACTGCCTGATGTGGTGAACACTGAGTAACCAACACTCAAAGTCCATTATTGCCCTTGCTTTATTTAGATGGCTTATGTCAGAGAGTCATTAAAGCCCCATAATGTTGCACATTCACGACTCTGTAATTGTTTCTAATATGGTAATATAACGAATATAGCACAAGAAAACAAAGGTGAAAAAACACGGGCAGAACTTTCACAAAATCAGCACTTTCCTCCTGAGACTCCTGTCATTTCAGTGTTTGAAGCACCGTCTTCTCTGTCCCCTGCGTGTATGTTTTTTATTTGTGTTGTGTTTGTGTGTCAAATGTCCACTTAACATCCTGGACCTGAAAATACTCATGTTCATTTAAAAAACAAATTAATGTATTCAGTTTTTTATTAGTGTTTTTGTTGGATCTTCAGCATCAGGTGAATTCATGATTGGACACCAGTGGACAGTACAAGTTTAGGATACATTTAGGTACTGAAAAAAGAAAACCTGGACCACACAGACAGGCCTCGGGGGTCTATGCTTTCAGCGGTTTGATGGATGGCTTGAATTGTGCAGTAACTTTCTGCTAAACACTGCCTGAAAACACCCAGTGGGAACTCTCTTTTTTTGTCATTCTGTCCCTGACACAGGTTCTCCCGTTGGTCACATCTTCATCACCAGAGTTTTTTTTTTTTTCATTGAAAGTTTGCTTCCAGCAGTGTCTGTCTGGGGTCAGTCATTCTTCAGAGCACTATTAGGAGAACGGACTGACAGTGAGATGAAATAAAAAACCTTGGTCAGATCAGAGATGTCATTAAAGGCTGTGAGTCAGTGGTGTTGATGAGGACGGATAGAAAATAGGTCGCTAAAGAAAGTGCAAAGAAAGTTTGATCTGTGTGGAGAAAAGGACAGAGGACAGAGAGGGACCTAAAGAAAGTCCGGCGCTACGGATAGCTGTTTTGTTTGGTCAGGAAAAGCCCCCCAGATGCCTGTAGTCAAGGGGTGGCTTGACCTTTCCTGTGGCTGGAAGCTGCGGGGCAGCGACGGCTGCGTGGAAAGCTTAGC